AAGAGCAAGGTATAGTTCCAGTCAGAGAGTGTATATATCCACCTGCTCTGGGCATTATTGTTTTATGATAATGTAAATCCTTGCCAGGAGCTTTGCAGAAACCCTCTCCTGTTTATTGTAGTTTGAGCAGTCCCCATTGTTCACTAGAGATCCGTAACTGTACTACAATTCTTATAATCAGCTCAAATGTAAAAAAATATCAGTTTTAAAAATTAAGGATACGCTACTATTAATTTCATTTGCTGGTTCCTTCTCATGATAGGGTAGGAGTGTTTTGAGACCTAAGATTTGTCATGCAACTAGCCACCTAGACACTCATCTAGTTTAAACTAGCTTTTTTTTTTTTTTTTTTCCAACCGGGAACAATCAGTTCGTGAAGATCATCCAGATTTTTCAAGCATATGACCAGGTATGGTAGCTTAAAACATAGTGTATCTTTTAAGTTGCCTGTGATGGATACTACTGGTGATGACCTTTCCATGGGAGTATTTGAGGTCCCATCGCTTAAATAGCTCCATTTTAGTCAGGGACAATTACCTTCCTGATAATGCAGTATCATTTGCACCTATCAATACTTTATATGCTTCAAAGTTTAAAAAGAAAAAAAAAAGTCTAATAAATGATAAATGTTGAGAATGACAAATGTGAATAAAATACAGAAGGTAGAAGTGCCTTCCTTACCCTTTGGTTTCATTAAAAACTAGACGTGCCTGCTGAGTTCTACAGGGAATGTTGAAAAGGTAGTTGCAGAAAGGCCGAAAGTAAAATTATGGAACTGTAGTATTATACAATAATCTGTCCCTCTGTGACCTAGGTGACTTTATGATCTGGTGATGGAAGTGAGTAAATGGTTTGTTTTAAACAGGTGGAAAACATTTCTGTTGCTACTAGGGGCATTGTAATTATGTAGTTGTCAGCCATGTGAGCTTGAAATAAAATAGGAAGGATTCCGCAATGCAGGGCAAGGCTTACTGTGAGGATAAGAATACCTGGTATTTAATCCTAATTCTACTACAGGTATCTTGAACTTGAATTAAACATGCTTATTCACCTTAAGGCACTTGAAGCATTGGCATCGGGAGCAGAGTCTTCAGGAGGCTGTTCCTTGTCTTGAACGATCACAGTGGGTGGGATCACTAAGGTCTACAAGTTTTTAGAAAAGGAAAGGAGGTGGAAGGCTTTTTGGTGGCTTAAAGTGGCTGTTAACCTAATAACCTGTGCAAATTAAAAGATGCGAAAGCAGTGAATTCAAAATTAAAGTGGTTGTTGTGACTGCAGACATAAAAAGGTCCTGTGTAATATGGTGACCCGCGGGTTAGAGCACACACAGCCTCTGACTCTGCTGTGGTATGTTCTCAGAGTAAGTCCGAAAAAAAAATCTTTTGCTTGTGTAAGCAATGGGAAAACAAGCAGACACTTTATACTCTAGAAGGCCCAGTAAGCCTCAGGAAATTCCTGCATTCTTGATTTTATTTTGTGGCAAAGTACTGTGGGGTGTGTTTTTGAAAGATGAGCAAGGTTGCCCTTCTCCAGCCCAGTGCCACAGACGTGATAAGCTGGAGCTGAATAGCTTATTGTTCCCCTGCAGGCAGCCCGATCAGCTGTCACTGTTCCCCTCAAAAAACACTGAGTTTATTTATAAAGAAAAAGTGCTGATATCGCATTTCTTACTAAAGGAAAAGGTTACTGGTTCTTGCTGCTGTTTAGCAGGAGAGCTGTGTGTGAAGTATCCCACCTTGAGAACCAAGAGCTTGAGCTTTGTTGTAACTTTTTAATTAAAATACATGTGCTCTGCTGATCTTCTGGTCATTGGGAACTACTACTTTTGGAAGTGGTTCTTTTTATTTCTACTTTTTCTCTTGGAGCTAGTTTCTCAGTCAAGAACATGACTGATGGAAAACTTCAGTTTGCCATGTTGTTGCACTCCTAAAGGTTCTGTCACTTGTAGCACAGAGAAGGGTAGGAGGCTGCACCATTACCTGTCTGAGCTGTAGCTGGTATTTTCTATTCCTATCCCAATCCTCTTCCTAAACGTGGTGCCTGTTGTTCATCCATGCTATAGGGTAGCTCCCTTCTTCTAAAAAATAACACTGTGCTGATGATCAAGCCCTAAATGTACGAACACATACATCACATGCAAGGAAAATATTTGCTGCATTTGAATTCTGTGCCTCTTTCTTTATTTGCTTAGCAGAAAATGCCAGATCTGCTTAAGTATTTTCTTTATGTGATACCTTTTCATGGGTCTAGGAACTAAGCCACAGCTTATTAAAATTACTGTGTTTGCCCAATGACTTCTGAAAAGGTCATAGAGTTGTTTCTATGTTGGGACCATCCCTTTTGTTGAGGAAAGGGTGGAGGAGAAGACACAAAAGGAGGAAGAGCTTTCTAATACTTCTTGCCTTGAAGAACATTCTTTCTTGAATGTCAGACCAGCAGATGGGTGTTAGGCTAAGCACTAGGCAGACTGAGTCACTGCAGTGAGGAAACGCTATGTTGCTGGGCATTTTGGTGCTATTATCATCTAGCTACCTCACTTTCTTTTCTTTATGAAAGTCTTAATGACAGAGCCACAGGTAGAATGGGGTTGTCTTGTTTGTATTGCACGTGAGTGACTAAACCTGTCGCTCATGCAGAGTTTTACAAATCCATCAGTAGTTATGTAATTGGGGACCGAGATGGATGGAGAAGATGTACCTAGCATACGTTGAGCATCACCAGCGGATTTTTAGATGAGTGCTAGCAGGTCCAATGTGCGTAAGCATTCATTATTTCTCTGTGCCCCTGCCAGCCGCTGCTAATCCTGAAAAACTTCTGCTAGGTAGACCCAAGCAAACAACAAAGAAATCGCAGAAACCTGCCAGAAATGCCATACGTAGGTTTTACGTAGCGTCGCTCACGCCTCCCCGTGCCGCCTTCCCTGCGGGCCACGGGTTGTGTTCTTGCAAGCACCGTAGGGTAGAGGCTCCTCCTCGCTTCCTCCGGGTTTGTTTCTGCGGTGTTCTTGCAGCCAGAGCTGGCAGGACCGGGGTGCTGGGCCCTGCCCAGGGTGAACCCGCACCCATCCTGCTGCAGCCGCCCGGGCCTTCCCTCGGCCCGCAGGAGCGGGCGTGCTGAACTGGTTTTGGTTCAAGAAGCGTGTGGACAACTCAGGCCTGAGTATTTGCTTGGAGTTTCATTTCCTAATGAAGAGACAGAAGTTTTCTGTTTTCTAAAATTCTCTCCAGAGAAAAAAATAAGCTTGACCAGCTTTGCCAACACATCACAGTTTTGACTACTCCATTTAATTCTGTGTTATGACCTTGCTGCCTTTATTTTCTTCTCGCAGTGAAAGCTACAGACGCTCCTGGGTACTACTGTCTCAGAGAAGTGGTACTACCAATTTAAAGTGCTAATCAAGGTCACCTTCAAGCTTGAAAACCCCACATTTTTGCAGATCTATGTTTTTCTTTTTTTAGGCAAATTTGTATACATGTGTTTTGGGTTTTGGGCTCCCTAAAATAAAGATGCATGCCTTCTCCACTGCAAATCCTGGACCCCTTGAAACTCTTCCTGCAGATATGAGCACAGTTCAAGGCAACTGATACTCATAGTGCACGGCAAGAGTAAAGCACTTGGAAGTCCAGATGGTATGCTTTTTCTGGGCAAAGGGACAAGTGTACTGAGGAGGCCAAGCTGGCCCCTGTTATTATGTATCTCAGGAATTAGCAACGAAGTAGTTGATTAAAAAATTGCATTTGGAAAATAATACTTACCCATCTTCAGTTGTGGTGACAAAGTTGTGGGTGCCCACAGTTGCAGTGCATAGATACAAACAAAGCTGTGCATGCTGAAGACCTGAATGTAGCTTATTTTCTTGGTGATTCTGAATTCAGCTTGGAATAACACATCTCTGAAAACCTTTGGAAAGAGCAGCGGTAACAATCCAGCAATAGCAGGCATCTCTAAAGTTTGAGTGCTCAAAGACCTTTAGATGAAAGGGTGTATTTTACTGTTTTCATGTTGAGTTTATTGTCTGTATAAAAGCCAAATAACTTCTACTAGCTGCATCACTGAATATTTCTGCATTTTTAGACTAAGAGTCTGACATGCTTCTGCTATGCTTTCTTGCCCTGTTTGACTGTGAGCAAGTCATATCACTATTCTGTCCCTCAAATTCAGAATCAATAAGATAAGGAGAACACCACCCTTGCTTAAAGGGCCAACATGAGAAGTTTTCATATTTGTAAAATGTTTGAAAACTGCTTGTAAAATATTGTGTTAATACAGATAGATATCTTCAGTAATAACTATGCATAACAATAATATTAACACCTATACCTGTGTGCTTTATGGGTCCTTTAGACATAGATATATGTTACTTGCAGATATTTTAAAAAGAAAAATAGTCTTCCTGGAGATAATTCCCTGATGGGAAGTGCTATCACGTTGGCTCTCTGAAGGGGTGTCTTTATCTGTTTCGATGCCTTGGTTTATAATGAGTGCTGCACAGCTGGAGACTCAGTAACTAACTGAATAATCTGAAATTGGTGCCTTTGGGGAGCGCCCCAGTATGCACAATGTCTTGTTTCTGCATCAAGAGTAGTCTGCAAAGGAATTTGATAGAAATTCCCTGAAGTGATTTTCTGAGCTGACGTGGGGTATTGCAGCATTCAGTCCTTTTTCCAGCCTGAGATTCAGTACATTTTTAGGCAGTGACCACTTCTTCCTGATGCCAAAAATGCACTTGACACTTGTAATTGATGCACTCTTCAGCAGCAAAACTTTGCTTGTAGGTCTGTGCACCGGATTGCAGGTTATTGGATGCCTTTCCTGCGACCGGTGCCTCCGAGGTGCAATTGCAATCATTTTCTGTCTGCAGACACAGTTAATCGTAATGGAGATTTGCTGACATATTACTAATGAGGGAATATATTTTAAATTATATTTTACTGGAGAATTTTTATGGTGTTTTCTCTAATGGCATTTTGTTTAATCTTTAGTGCTTTTATTTGTTACAGAGATCCGTGCCCAATTGGTAGAGCAGCTGAAATGCCTTGACCAACAGTGTGAGCTTCGGGTCCAGTTACTGCAGGACTTGCAGGATTTCTTCCGCAAGAAGGCAGAGATTGAGATGGATTACTCAAGGAATTTGGAGAAGTTGGCTGAGAGATTCCTGGCTAAAACTAGGAGCACCAAAGACCAGCAATTCAAGTAGAGTATTTGCCTCTTGTTTTTGCCCTTTTTTCCCTGTAGATGTGGTCTCAAGGATAGGAATGCAAAAAGAGAGCTGATACAGTGAATGTGGGTACCGGCACTGTTTTGAATGTCAGAAAAAAATGTTTCCCAAGTTTGTGTTAAACACAGAACCGACGTCATGTTTCTACACAGCCTGGTTGCTAGCTTCATTTCAGTAATTCGTGGTAGGTCATGTGTTGTCAATAGGGAATGGAATGGTAAAAATGGGCGTTTCTAAAAGGAGTAATTTTACTGGGGAGGTGGGCAAAGCTGTACACCAAATTTGATGGACAAAGCCAGGATTTCCTTCAGTGTCAGTGGTTATGGTCTTTTTTTTTTTTAAAGTAACTTTCTAATCTGTTACACGCTGTGAATTGCCATTGCAGCTCTGTCTTTTCAATACCCTATGCATACTCAGTGTAGGATTTGAGTGTTGCATCTCTGCTATTACGACTTCAAAACTGGAGAAATAAGGCCAATAGTTCTTCCAAATAGAGCTGTTCCATTTGAGGCGTGGGGAACCCTAGATACTAAGCTGATGGTAGTCAATTAAAATTTAAGGATGTCCTTACTGACAGTCAACTGTCTTACCTGCTTGAGACATTAACTACAGGTAGGTCTGACCACACTGCTTTGGTTGTTCCCCGCTTAGCTGTCTGAGTTGGGATGACTAATGCGTGTCGAACGTGGTTTCATGGATTCAAAGCCTTCTGATTTACTGCTTACTGCTGCCTGGAGGAAGGGACAGGGGTGCTTTTCCCAGGAAGGGGGATGCAGGAGAGGACCTGTGGGAGAAGAAGGGGCTGTTGGAGGCTGCGTGGCACAGAGGCATCAGCCCAGCGGGTAGGTGGCCAGCACAAAGCCACAGCCCTGGGCTCCTGTCGCTGCCATCTGGGCAGTGCATGAGCTCGTCGGGTTTTGTTGTCAGGGTAGCAGCTGGGGAAAACACCGAGCAAAAGCAGCCTTGGGATCTGATTCATTTCTGCTTTGGACAGATTGATCTGAGAGGATCCATCTGGGTCTGCCTCCGCCCCAAGTGCGGTGTCACTTTTAGCATTGTTTGGGTTGGGCCATTATCTGTGGTTTTGGTTTTTTGTTGTTGTTGTGTTTGGAGGGATATGGGGATGTATCGGCTTTCTCTTTCCAGTAGAAGCTCTTTCTGTAAAAGCCATTAAATAGGTACTATTTTAGTTTCCTTTCTAAACAGCTTTGATGTAATTTACTTTACTTCTCATTTAAAACGCAGTGTGCTACATTGTTGGGAAATCATGACTCCCAAGCGTAGCTATTTGACAGGTTGGAGAAGAGTTATTCTGCATATCTATAGAGCTGTAATTGTCTAATGTATTTATTTCATTTTCCCTTACAGTGAAAATCTTCTTATAACTATAAGCTGTGCATATTCTGCACATGCCTTTAAGCTGGCACTAAAGAAATGATGCTTCAAACTAGAATTTTCCTCTGCATTATAATTGGTATTTTGTTGTTATTCCTGGTGAAAATTGAGGTGACTTCCTTTGTATTACATGATATGAAACATCCCATCAGAAACACTTTTGTAGTCAGCTTTCAGTGTTGGGAAAGTTGTATATAGCTTACTTCCTATTTTGAGGTTCAGAGAGAATTTCTAATGTGGAAGTTTTTACCATGGTTGAAAAGAATCCTACCTGGTGTCATGCTTCATGTGAATTAAATATGCTGGCCTTGATACTGCAGGGTTTTGTTTGTTTGTTTGTTTGTTCTAATGCATTTTCCTCACTACCTCCTGCCCCTGATTTTTGAGATATTTCTACTTTAGATAGGCTTTATAAAGTTATACCTGGACAAAATTGACCTCAGATATCCTAGTTATTGAGTGTGGCCTGCGTTGGACAGGTGATTTTATCAGCACATAAAACTTTCACTTGAATTTCTGAATCAAATGTCCATGCTTTTCCAGTCAAGTTCAAGGCATTGCCCGAAATAATACTCTGAAACCTGTTACTGAGCATCAGTTTCACTTTGCTTTGCAGAAAGAGGGCTAACTCTGCTCAGGCTCCTGACTTCACTTACATTAGCAGCAGATAGCTCCCAGCAGAAAAACATCAGGCTCTTGGAATATGTTACTCCTGCAAGGTTTGAGTCCCAAATATACAAGTTGTTAATTTGTTCAAGAGTTGGAATAAGAGAAAAAAAATAACCACAAGGCTGCTGGGTCTGTGGGCAGTATTTGTCAGAGCAGGCACGTGGCTGTAAAGCTGTCTGTCCTGGGTGGCTCCATCTATTATTCGGTCATTTGTGTCTGCTGGCTGTAACATTCAGAAATGTGTCAGAATACCACAGGGATCAGTAAGGAAGCAATACTGATTATGATTGCCTATCCCCAACACTGCTCTGTCTGAATAGCGAAGAGTAACTTGGCTGGTATCTTTTCTGTAGTTGCTGAAGCTGTAATCTCATTTGGAAGCCCCCAGAAGACCATTTGATCAAAGCCAACCATCAGATCTCTCCTCCTAAGGAGCCTGGTATTACATGACTCTGAGATGTGCACAGGCGGGCGGCTACTCTGTAATTGCCTGGCTGTGACCCTATAAATATACAGTAATAGCATGTTCTTGCAGTAACATGATAATTATGTTGGAAGGTACCACATCATTCAGTGACTGCTTACCATGCCACTTGCTGTTTTTAGATCTCATAACACACTGGCAAGGAGGAAATCTGTCAGGCAGTAACCCTGTAATTTGCATGTGCTTTCATACTCAATAACTATTATGTAATTGCCAAGTAGCTCCGAATGTGTGCATTTAAGGGAATGCTGTCAAGGGCAGGAGGCTTCAGTCTGACCCTTGAAACTGGATTGTGTGGTTTCCCCACCATCCATCTCCAAGCTGGTAAAAGCACATGCTTCAAGGAAAGAGCGATGTAAAGTGCAGGCTTGTGTTGGGCTTCTAACAAATGCACTGCACAGGGTTTATTTTTCTTAGATGTGGCTCCATCAGAGGGTAAGCTGATCAGGTGGCTACATTTTCCATATGAGTTTTGAAATGTAGGTGGTTGGGTCTTGAGAGCAAACTGTATAGCTGGTGATGGAGTTAAAGCGTGCTTGCGCAGTGCACAGTTTGAAGCTAGCTTCACTGGAGCATCTTAAAGTGATTTACAGAGGTAGGTGTATGTTATTCTCATTTTATATCTTCGAAGAAGGGGAACAGATTGGTTTAGCCAAGGTGACATACAAGTTGATGACAGTTGGATATATCCCAGGTTTTACTTGCTTTTATAACTATTCCACCATGGCCGTTAGACCTCACTTTGCCTATTCTCTTTTAAAAATGTTTTTTCAATTAGAACAGACTATTAAAGGGAATAGTCATATGGAAGTATATATTTGGTAAGGCTTCTTCAGTACCCGTTGGTAAATATCTTTGCACAAGATGTAAGGACTGAAAGAAAAAGAAATGTGTTTCACTGCCTAAGTCTTGTAACTCCAGTTGTTACAAGAGCTTGTTGGTCACAAGTTTGGTATAGTCATGGCTCCTTAAAGATCAGCCTAAGTAAAGGTCTCTTGTGTAGTAGTTAAATCGGAGCAGCCGTCTCAGCCGGCGTCTGTCTCGCCTGTTGGGTCCTGGGGGTCCCTGCAGGCAACAGTGCTGGGTGCGGGTCCGACTGTCATCCTCAGAGGAAGGCTCTCAGCCCCTGCAGTGTAACCCTGTGACCTTTAACTCCTGGCTTGCTTCTCCTGTTTCATGTGATTTTGTCCTAAAGGCAGTTGCCTGTTCAGATAATCGGTTAACAATATAAAAACTGTGGCAAACCTCGAGTGATTCCCTTCACAGGAAAAAATGGGAGGGGAGAGAAAAAAAAAAAAAAGAGAGAGAAAAAAAAAAAAAAAAAAAAAAAGAAAAGACAGTGCTATTTTAGGGCCATATTTTAAATCAAGATAATCGTTGGAAGTAGGATACTGAGTAGCAATTGTCAGCTGGAGAGCTGAATGTCCAGGATATCCCAGCATGAAATTCAGATGGCTTTCTGGCAGCCTTTGCCTTGAAGTAGAAGATGCAGAATAAGTCTGGCAACCTTCAGGCTGAGCACTTGTAAACAACAGATGTTCATAACTGGAATCTTTTGGAAGAGAAGAGCAGGGAGCAGCGTGTATGTCCATGCTTGTAATTCTCAAAATTTGCAGTTAACACTGAGCTGTGTCAGGAAGACTTGAAGGGAAAATGAAATGCTGATTTGAATGAGCAGCTTGCAGAGAAGTTCAACTTTAGTTTTCTTAAAAGCGAAATGATTTTTTTTAAAGCAGAGATGATATCGGCTGTGAGGGAGGTGTGGACAAAAGCATTTGGGTCATGTGGACTTCAGTTACGTAGTTGTTATTTTAACCGATAAATACTGTCGTAGGCTATTTTGACCTGAGATTCTTTTTGATGGAGCTGAGTCCTGAACGTTTTTTTCTGAGTCTTTCTGGTAACGTTTGGAAGATTTTTCTAAGCATGAATCATTCATTAATTCGGTGACCTCACTGAACTTGGAGAACTAGGAATACATGACCAGAAAAATTTGATGTAAAACCCCAGGGAAGATCTTTGTGGTGTTTTTCATCATATCAGCGATCCCAGTATCACTGATTGTAGCTCCTCTTACATACCACACTGCAGGGGACAAAATTCAGACAGGTTTGAAACAATTAACGTCTCTGCTCTAACGCTTGGTCTAGCTCTAGCTCTGATGGTTTGCTGGGTGGACTTGACAGTTGCTCAGATCTGAAAATAACTTCTTAATCTCTCCCTTCACCTCTTATTTAATTTTAGCAGGCGGTTCAGGTGAGCTGGGCCTGAGGTCAGTACTGCAGAGTGTGCGTCCTGTAGAGCTCAGACCTGAGCCCGCGGCTCGCTGCTGGGATGGCAGAGGCAGCACGTGCACGTTACTCTGCAGAGCGGGAAATAAATCCATTTCTCAGTTGCCAGGATCTTGATCACCATTTCAGGATGTAC